GGAGTTCGAGTGGAGTTCGAGTGGAGTTCGAGTGGAGTTCGAGTGGAATTTCGGAAAATAGGAGTTGAGTTGCCCATTTCTGGGTTTCATGCGAAAGCCTATAAAGAAATATCCAATAGGAGTGGGAGTTCAGAAAATAGGACTGGAGTTGTGTGTGTAATTGGAGCGGGACATAGTGAAGTTGGCAATCTCTACTTGGCACACAAATGTCGATCTGGATCAGTGCCCAACGGGCATTGACTGGAATATTGGGAATCACTACAAGGAACGGAAAAGAAAAAGAAACGTCATCGTGATTGTCGAAGAGATCCTCCTCTCCCATGAGAGTAAGAGCTACAAATACGACATTCGTCTTCGAGAATGTTCCTTCCACAGATAAAAATTTCGAAATCTTTTCCTAGTTTCCTATGAAAAAAAAGAATTTCATAACAATTCTCACATCTATGTCGCTTCTAGAGCTTGCCAACATCGTGTAGATCCTAAAATATAGAATCCTCGCGGTAGATGAAAACAGTAACGAGAGATCGGTGTAAGGAAGCTTTCCGAGAATGAGCAGTGCTTATGGGATGCAAGCTTTCGATTGGAAAAAATAGGAGTCTGGGAATTTGATTCATAATTTTCAATCCAGAATCTTTTGCAGAATAATAATTTATATGAACATCAGACAAGAATTTAAGCAATAAAATAATGAACTATGTGAAACTCCTAAACTGAAAAAATCCTTAAAAGGTTCTATCTACATCTTGTTAGAAGGATGTCGAATCCTTGGACCAGAAATGTCAAGCCTAATCCTTATGTTTTTGGGGAATCTTAAGTATTCAATATGTTGATAGGATCTTAGCAAAATCATAAGAAGGTATGTATGCACGCAAATCTGAGTAAATTTGACAGGACTTCACGAAGATCTTGGAAATCCGACGCCTTCTACTTTTTGAAATACTCAGAAGACTAATGTTAATCTTATCAGCGCTCTCTATAGGAAAAGAAAAGGACTTAGTTAGCTTTCTACAGGCACGAGCTGAAGATATCCTTTTTGTGACTTGGAAAGCAGGGGCTCACTCAGAAAGGTCAAAAGAATAACGGTAAGATATTATCAGAGTTTCGATAAGATTTGATACGAAGCATCGTCTGGAAATGTTAGAAAGGTTTCTATGAATTCGAGACAAGAATCTTTGCTAAAAAATAAAGAATAGTGTCAGAATCCAAAGCTGGAAAAATGCGCAGGTGTTATTTGCATTTTATCAGAATGCTGATGCTAAATATTTGAGCTAATATGAGTGTGGGTGGATATGAGTGTTCCTATTCTTCATTGGCAACTACGCTCACGCACACCTTAGAAGAATTCAATGTTGTTACCTTTTTGTAGCAAATGACTTATTAGTTTGATATTGATCTGTAAGAACTCGCATCAAATTTTAAAAATTCAAACGAATTTGAAATTCAACTATAATAAGTCAGTTTTTACAAGATGATAACAAGATTGATATAACTGAAAATTCATCTAAATTATATTTCAGGTAACGCATGCAGATCGATAGAATATGTTATTGTTCTCTCTACGGATGTATTCAATTAAAAAAAAATGGAACGTTTACTAACATGTAAAGATATACACTAAAAATTATTCTACGTTTACGAGGTTCATTGAACTATTGCACGCTCCATATATGAAGATTGTTCTATAGATTTTTTGCTATTTTGAATATTTTTTTCTATTGTGTCGAATACATAAAAGTTGAACAGACATACAAAATCTATATATTTGGAACGTCTGAACTATGATCAAAAATTCCCTATACTCTCAACTGACAACATTATTAAGAAAATACATTATTAGAAAACATGCGAAAATCTTTTTATCGATTTTATTTTCTACTCAATTTTTTCTTACGATGAGAGGATCGTGTGATTCATTTTTGTCCTTTTATGTTCTTATGAAATCCAAGGGGGAAACAGCAGAGACTTCAGCCATGAAGTCTCATGAAGTTTTGAAAGTCTTTCGGAGTGTTCTGAAGTCTCTTGAAGTCTTATGAAGTCTCATGAATTTTCATAAAGTCTCTTGAAGTCTCTGAAGTCTCATAAAGTCTTATGAAGTCTCGTGAAGTCTAATAAAGCCTCATGAAGACTTATGAAGTCTCATGAAGTCTCTTGAAGTCTAATGAAGTCTCACGAATTCTTCTGGAAATTTTGAAATACATTTAGTGCATGAAAATTCATAAGAAACCAATGAAATTGTCTTGTTTTCGACGGTCATATCTTAGCAGAAAGGTGAACCTTTTATTGTTTTCTTTTCAATGTGCTGAAAAAAAATTCAAGTTTGTCGGATCTTAGAAAACATAATAGTTAATAACTGAATGCTTTTTGAATGAAGTGATTTATTTTTATAAGAAATATGCCATCTATTCCATGTCAGTCTTATGAAGAATTTTATTCCTTTTTGTTTGTTTCTATCACTCGTGATAATCTATCAGCCGATAAACGGCTAGCTTTATCGGTCAATAACCAACAAGCCGTTTGCTTGTGTATAGATTTAGTCTTGTCATTTATTTGCACCTGAAAATAGGAGTTTTTCAATGCTGGATTAATCGAATCAAATAAACACGTACCAGTAAAGTTTATCTTCTCTGTTTTAATTTCATCAACGCTTTGTGTCATTGCCATATCTTTATTCTAGATATGGATATACTGCGAGAGACAACTCTCAGAAACAAGAAACACCTTTGTAATCTCTATATGATAAGTTTTGTTTTTTGCATGTTATAGAAGTTTCATGTAATTCCTATAAGGTTTTTTGATACGCATGGAATCTGCCTCTTGAAGTCTTGTGAAGTCTAGCGAAGTCTTGTGAAGTTTTATGAAGTCTTGTGAAGTCTTATGAAGTTTTGCGAAGTCTGGCGAAGTCTTGTGAAGTTTTATGAAGTCTTACGAAGTCTTATAAAGTCTCAAGAAGTCCTACAAAGTCTATGAAGTCTCACAAAATCCGTGAAGTTCCATGAAGTCCGTGAAGTCTCACGAAGTCTCACAAAATCCGTGAAGCTCCATGAAGTCCGTGAAGTCTCACGAAGTCTGTGAAGTCTCACGAAGTCTTTTGAAGTCCTATGAAGTCCCATGAAAATTTATGAAGTCTTGTGAAGTCCCTTGCAGTCCTATGAAGTCTTATGAAGTCTTTAGAAGTCTTATGAAGTCTTTAGAAGTCTTGTGAAAATATGAAGTCACTATGGTTGAAGTCTGTTGAAGTCTTTTGAAGTCTTGAAGTCTTGAAGTCCGCTGTTTCCCCCTTGATGAAATCTAAAGCTAAAATAAGTTTAGACGTTTTTTTGTTTTATATATTTAAGATAAAAATATAATGAAAAATAAACTGGATAAAGTTTCTGTTTAATACTTTTATTAATCATCTACCTTCTTGGTATAAATATCAGTTGAGTACAACAAATTTTGAACGATGACTTAGATATGATATTTAAACATACATTTTTGTGTGTCTGTTCTACTTGAAAGAGTTGACAAATACAAAAACAAAGTCAAAATGGCTTCGAAACATATGAAATATAGCTATTCGCTTCTGTCTTCTGTGTTGATGTGAATAGAAAAACGAAAAAAAAGAAAAAAAACTATTTTGCTCTAGACAATAAATAGAAAGATAAAACATCTACCATCTTTATTAATTCTTGACGGACAATAAATTGCTCAAGAAAAAACTAGTTATCACATACTACGAATGAAAGAGAAAAAATGACATTATTTATACAAAGAAACGATGATGAAATCAACAATTCACCGAAAACGAATTAGAATATTAATAGAAATAATATGGAGATAAATAAAATAGAACTGAAGAAAAACATGCACATTTCAACATGTAAATAAATGATACAGTTGTTAAAATAAACTTCTTACAAACTTTAAATAGTCGATGCACTAAATTATTCTAAAGAGATAAGAACTCATCACAACTTAAAGCACGCACTATCACTTGAGATCGAACAAAACTCATAAAAAAGGGTTTAGAATTTCAATGTATTCATTGATTGGAAGAAGAAAGAGTAACAAATCATATGACTGTCTCAGCTTTGATACATAATTTATTTATTTGTCTACTTCTGAGCAAAATCAGTGGATGCAGAGAGAAACACAAAGATTTCTCCTATCATGATCATCATGATAAATAGAAAGATGTCTTAACATTAACAAACGAGGGAAAAAACATACTCTTATATGATTCAATCGATTCTATTCAGTTAGCATCCTTTATTCATTTGCAAGGTGATGAAAAAAAAAACAAACATTAGTTAATTTTCTATTTTTAAAAATACTTATCCATACAGATATGAAAACAGCAATAATTTTCGATAGTTCTAAGAAAAGTTGATCGTCAAATAAATCGGCAATAGATTCTTAACATAATAAGAATAAAAGATCATAACAAGTATTAGAAATATGAAAGAAAAAAATACAGTGATAACTATGCTATATCGCAAATAGATCAAAATCACATTTTGAATTTTGAGAAAAAATAATAAATAAACAAAGTAAACAAATAAATAAGACAAAGACTCTAGTGGAAGTACTGAGCTAAGAGTATCCATGTACTGAGAAAGCCTCAGCATGGTGTCCGATATAGGTACTTCGAAAAGTTTCAGTAATTATACTGATGTAGGTACTGCATTGAGTATCTATTGCAGTATGTTTACTAAACAAGTACTTGTATAGGTACCCGCACCTGTAATTTTACTGAGGAACGTTCTACAGGGTATCCTAGATTTATCGTGTTCTGTGTAGCAACTGTTCATTCACCGTTTTTTTGCACACACGGCTTCATATAAACAACTCGACAAAACATAAGAAATTAATATTTTTTCATACTAATTTTTTCTAGATTATTTCGTGACTATTTACTAGTCAAGAACATGTCGACCTCGATCGTAAATTGAGAGAGGACTAACCTGAAGTGGTCTGGTGGAGATCTAATCAACTCAGGTCCAGTCAGATTCTGAAATTTGACGTGCTTGAACTTTCAGAATTGGAAAAATTAAATTAAATAAAATCGAAAAAATGTCATAAATTGCTTTGAGAGGAACAAAAATGAAAGAAGTCAAAGGTTAGGTTCGATCATCAACATACTGCAATTTTGGCAACAGGGCACCTAAAAATACTGTGCAACAGTACCCAGTTGAGTATTTGATCAGTACCTTCAAGTACCAATTTACTGAACATTTTGTAGCAGGGTACCCGATAAGGTACTTTAGTACCCAACACACCCTCGGACATACTAGTAGCAGGGTACTTTTTCGGGTACCCTTGACTCAGTACATTCACTAGGGGAGGTATCAACTCGCACATATATGAAGAGAAAAAAGTAGTCGCACGTCTTTAAGAATATCCTATTCGTTTTTTAATGATTGTTCAAAAATTGACGTGTCATTCTGGTAAAAAAAACCCAGAGTAGTCTATAAATAATAATTTTCATGTCAGATGTGTTCATATGAATACAAGTAATTGGAATAAAGATTCTTCATCTAAACGCGTTCAATTGCTTTAAAAAGAACGAGAAAATACGAATAAAACTATGTTTTCTTAACGAATATTTCGGCGTTAATATGTGTTTTAGCCTTGCAACACGGTAACAGTCGTGAAATTTGCGCTGAAAACAAATAAAAATACTCAATTTAACGTGTTAAAGAAATCGTTAGAACGCTGTTTTTAAATTATTTCAATATCTTATGTATTTTTAGTGAGTCATTACTAAAGATCCTCTAGGACACGAGTCAATATGTTTCTGCATACGTCAAGTACCTTTAGTTGATTTATATATAGTAAGTGATATATATGAAGCGCATATAAGAATCAAAATTTTCTCTAGGTCTACTCTAGCGGTCCTTCTAAATGATCAACTAATTAGTTTTCCACTAATCTTATATCATTCGACAGTGTAATATTTACTCTTTATCGAAAATTAAAAAGTAGCTCTTTGCAATCTTGATTAGCTAAAACTATGAATAAAATGCTTCAAAAAAAGTTTGTAGTAGAATTGAGACACCAGACTTTAAGATTGTCTGAATTCAGATAGGGACGAAAGGGAGAACACCTTTAGAATATAGTGCATTTTTATAATATCTAAAGTTAAATGTTTTATGAAATTGAAATAAAGCATCTTTGTTTTGAAAGGCAACATATATCGTAGTACCAAACGAAGAAGAAAGGATGGATTTCGTTTTGTAGATATCAATAAAACGAAGTAAAATTCAATAGTGACGAAAAATAATCAACATGGGGATTACTATTAATTGATTTTTTTTTCCTTATGATAAAGATTTAATCACTCATAATATAAGATTGCTGATCTTATCAATACTACCTTTAACTAGCTGCAGAGTAATATTGCATATAAAAGAACTATATATACTTCATTAGAAATTAGCGATAGTCAAGATCAAGAAGTGTTAATATAATGCTTACCTAGTTGCTGAGTAGTTCTTGCAGTTGTCGTTATAGTTGACATTGAAGTTGTTGTTGTAGTTGGCATTGAAGTTGTTGTTGTACTTGGCATTGAAGTTGTTGTTGAAGTGTTCGTCGCTATTCATTATTATAGAAAAATTTATGTAAACAAAGCAGATAGTTTAGGTCTGACATAGAGTGCAATGCAGAACTCGAAGCATTTAAGCTTTAGATGAAGTCTAAGCAGTGTTTCAAAGCAGAAATACGACCTCAAACGGTTTTCTAATCGAAGTTTTTCTTTTAAAGCTGACTTTTGATGGAAAACGTCTGTGTTCATCGAAGACCGAAAATCCAGTAAAATTTTCGGCAATTCTATTCGATTTGACGCGGTTGAATCAAATTAAATCGAATCGCATCGAGTGGAATCAAATCCATCGAAACTGTTCTGCTCAAATTCATCGCTTCTGTTACGTTTTAAATACGGGTAAAAGGTTTAAATGTACTGACTGTCGTTGCAATACAAGACCACTATTCGAAGTATGAAGTTTGTGATTTCAACCTGTCACATAAATTGCCCACATGCCAGTGTTTTCGTCGTCTTAGACCATTAGAATACTCTGTCGTCATATCAGTAGTGTGAGTGAAATGGCTTCATAGAGATACTCGAAAGAACCGAAGAATACTGTTCAGATAAATTGTTAAAAGCTTTCTTTCTTGTCCCTCTTGTCATCAGACGGTTTGAATATTGACATTCTTCTCTTAAGAAAGAAATCTCAAATGTTTGATACACGTAGACATAGCCTCCAAAATAATTACCCATACCAAGAGCATCCTCAACATGCATTCTGTGCTTATTAGTATTTTTCTAAGGTGATTGAGTCAGCAGTACCACAAGTTGTGAAATATAATTTACATACACAGTTGCATTACTGATCATTAGTGGTATATTCATTCAATTCAATGACTAAAGCACTCTTGAGCTCTAGAGTTTACTTCATCATAGCTAAATGATCAGTCTTCAATTTCGCAAGATTAGTCATTAGAAACATGACAGAGAGAAACATGAATACGCTTTCTTTCGAACTAGATGTTGATCGCAGTTGTCTTGAAAAAAGACTGTCGAGTATACAACAAAAACTGTGAATAAAGAGAAATGTGGCACAATAGAATTAAAATGCTGTTCTGGAGATTCTAACATATGACACGTTCTACAGAATCGAATCGAATAATCAATTATTCAATTTGTTTCGGTCTCTGATGCACATTCAAAAATTCACTGTGTCTTCATGCATTCCTAAATATAACTGAAACAGATTCTGTATTTCAAATTAATAGATATAGTCCATGAGAAGAGATGAAATCTTTTTTTCCAATGATTACAATTGATTTTTCTCTGCCATGCTTTATCGACTATTTCAAAGGCTTTTTAACTCTGCTTCACTACTCCTATACCAACACGAACTGCATATGTGAGGGTGTGTGAATGTTGAAGAAATAACTTTAAGAAAGGTTCGGCTTTCACTTGAACCTGTTGATCACTGTTTGTTTTCTTACTTGCCATCGGTGGACAGAATTGCTCATTGAAACTGGGCACCAGATAACAAACAGGACGATTATGACATAGAGGATGATGAATACACCTATGGTTAGGTTCATCACAAAGATTGTCTGGGCTTTTACATGCAACTAGCTTAGAACAATCTGTGGATATAGCGGTACAAATGCCAGTGTCAATAGCACCTGCTATATAGAAACAGGCGCACCAACTATTTGACGAACATCGGTCATATTGAGCAATTCCATGGCAGAATTGAGATTTCACTCGAACTAGCGACATACTAAATTAATAGGAGGACATGTAAAAAGAAAACAAGAATCAAACCTGTAAAGCTTAAAAGGAAAATTGTTCAACATTAGATGAATAGGGAAAAAATAGATTTTAGAATTACCTGAATAGAATGAATACGAAACAACGAATTAGTGTTGAAACCATCGCTTGCCTTAAAATGAGACAGAATAGTGACGGCACCCGTCTTTATATACCATGAAGAGATAATGTTTTTCGTATTCACCGAAAGTGAAGAATCGCACCACCTGTTCTTTCGATAAATAGAAATTTGATATTGCTCCATTGCTTTCTCTAAGCACTTAACTTTTCTCCGACAAAATAATCTTTATAGAAAAAAAGCGTCGTAAAAGCAATATAGGATTGCTTCTGCGATATAAGCATTTAATACGCTCGTCCTATCATTCGAAACATGAATATTGTTATTGTCAATCATCGACTTACTATGTAATGACAGCCTACAACAATTTCAAGGACAAATTTTGTTTTTAATATTTGTACTTTTGTTATAGGCAGCATACAAAAGTTTGCACCTTCATCAAATCAAAGTCACAATCTATAGGTA